ATTTTATATATATATATATATATATATATATATATATATATATATATATATATATATATATATATATATATATATATATATATATATATATATATTGCCATTCGTCCAATGTACTTCAAGGACCTAATATTGTTTAATATGAATTTAATTCGTTTTCCATGTTTTAATAATGGTTAAAGATAGTGTATGTTAGACTAATTCAGTCTGAAGCATCAACATGTGAGCATTCATCATTTCGGTTATTTGAGTGCTAAGATGATGTATAATTTCCACAAGAGTAATATCCATATAAATATTAGCCCCAATTGCATGTTGCAAATGCAAATATCTTCACTTACATCTGTCACTCTCTCACAAATTCACAGTATTTGTAGGTACCACACAAATTGAATAGTTTCCTACCACACTCATTGGTATTGTAATTAAATGAAGAGAATATGATTCTAAAAATGTCCTGGCAAATCTATTGGATTTCTCTCCTTGGGCACCTTATTATTTTCAGTGGGGGATGATCCCGGCTCTCGTTGACATACTCCAGGAATTGTATCAATTATGTAGGCCTGGTGAAAATCTTGCATCAATTTGGATGGGTTTAAACATGGCCTTTAATTTGTTGATCCCGAACGCTCAAAAATATCATATAAGAACAAGTCGTTTCTGAACTCAAAATTATATCAATAAGAGGTCTAGTTGGTCATGAATTCTGCTCAATAAGCCTAAGACCCAAATGTAGTGAGGTTTGTGAAAAGGTTTTCCTCAGTAGAATGCTTTTTGTTGTAATTTTTGCCTATGTTGTTCCTAAATAATAAAGTTGTTAAAATGTTTTTGCTTTCCGCTTCTTGGCATTGTGGGTTGGTATCATTTGTGACCAATTCTTCTCAAAAGCCTTTCAAAATATATTCGAATGTTTTATATATTCAGCAAGAGTAGCTATATTTGATGGAGAATTTTACTAAAGGTATATAGTTGACACATACATATGTCACTTTGCGTTCTGGCAAACTTTGTCCAGTGGTTTGGTGGATGCTGCAAAGATTTTGTTAAAGCTTCTATATTTGTAGTAAGGCCGACCATATTTAATGGCAGATCAGTTGTATAAATTGCAATCTCTTCATGTGAAGACGCATTCTGTTAAGGAACGTTCGATTCTATTGAACAGGTTTGCAGATGAAGACCGTTAAAGATTTTTTGGAAGCAACAGTATCTGTATTTGATGGTAGATCAGTATGGATACCTGTGCCAGAATTTGGTTAAATTTATTTCATCAGTTTGGGAGAATTAAAGTTTTCCTATTTGTTGCTAAAACTGATATATTTGATGCCAGATAAACATTTTGTATAAACGTTTTTTATGCTAAGAAGGTCATTATCGAATTATGTTTAGATGTTTTGGATACGTAGTCATTTAATTGATTTTCTCGTCAGATCAGATATAATCCTATCATATTCAAACGTACCACAGTTATATAGTCTAATTGGTCATGGCAGACTTTACAAACCTAGTTTATCAGAGGTTTTGGATAAGTAGTCATTTAATTAATTTTCCCCTTTAGTAAAGTAGCATCTTTCTTCTTCTCATATTTTATTCACTGCTTTAAGATCATTAAAAGGCTATCAAAGTTTATTAGTGGACAGGCATCACTTGCAGAGATTTCCATTTCTTCATTCCATAATACTTTATGTTAAATTTGATCAATTTATGTTGAGTTGCTTTTAGCATTGAGCATTGGTCCATTGAATCATGAAGAACATAACGAAATCTAAAGAATAAAATAAAGCAAAATTTGATATAAAAAAAAATACTTGTTATCGAGATTTTGAATTTTAAAATTAATAACTAAACATATATCGGGATAATTCACAATTGCATTCGCTAGCTTTCATTTTAAATCCCAAGTTTCTTAAAGAGAACACATTGTACACAATTTCAAACAAATTTACTATTATATAACTGTCCTTTCCTTATTATTCAATGCTGTATTTCTACCTTTACTTGTAACACATTATTTGTTATATCACGCCGACGAAAGAGGTCTTTCTGACGGATTTTGGATCAGAGTATGATCTGTTAGCTTATATTAATATCAATCTCTTAGGTATGTTAGATTTATTCTGCTTTTAAAATATATGTACATGCCACTGATAACTGCACGTAACACAGGCTAAACCGAAAAATGACAGACGATTCTATACCTTATTAAATTATATTAATGTGGATTGGTGGTGGCGTGGTAATACTGCAAGACTGACTGAGTGTGGCTTTAAAGGCGTTTGAATTTTTTGGGTTTTAGTGGTACTTTTTAAAGATTGTTAGCTTTGTCATGCCGAGCAGAGAGATGTCACGTGCCTTTCCCAACGATTCGCCAAGGCAGCCGTCCCGACTGGACTGAATGGGTGGATAAAGGGGTGAACGTTTGAGCAAATTGTATTCGTCATCCATAAGGCCAGGCATATTGTATGATGTCATCAATCTATCTGACCAAAGTTCGTTTTCAACTAACAACTTGAGTTGTCCACTGTCCACGGGCCTAAAACTTTGTGGATGGCTTGCTTATATGCTAAGGAAGAACCTCAACGATCTCAACTCAAATGTTCAATGGTCAAGGCCACAGTTACTGAACGAATGAAACTGTTATCATATTATCTTGCAATCAGTGTTCTTAGAAGTAAGCAAGAAAGATAATTTGATATCAGTAGTAGAATCTGGTTTTTCGTCTGTGTTTGGTGTTGTTATAGTTTATAGAGAGACCGTAACCTTTCATGGCTCGGACAGGCAAGAAGTAGAATAAAGCCAATGTACACGAGAGATTTTTGTTTCTATGAGCCAAAAGTATGATCAGTTGGATTCAGTCACCCATAACACAATACGGCAGTTGTTTTATAAAGGCTGATCTTTTCAGTTAAACCATTTACACGTTTCCTAATATAGAAAATGTTGAAAATTACTAAAGATGCAAAACTGCTATGCCCTTTGTATAATAAAAATATCATACATGTGTATTAATGGCATATTATGACGTATAATGCTATGTTTACAAATCACCATAATTTACTAAAATTAAAGCAATCATTTTAATAAAAACAGTTATTGCGTGATGATTCTGTCCATGCTGGAGATTACAAGGGTCAGAAAGATATTATAACTGTATGCTATGTGATAGTAAATTGACAGGTGCCACCAAAGGCAGACGAGGTATTCAATAGAGGCTAAATACATCATAAGAGAATAAGTTCTGTTCTCCAGAGTAGGGGAATGCTTTTTCTTCTTCAAAAACTATATACAGATAACATTTAGCGGACTATAGGTAACTGGATATATAAGTTCTGAGATTATATCACACGGTTTCTTTAGTGGGGATATAGTAGTTTCTTTATGAGTATATCCTTTACTAAAACAAATTCAGATTTTTACAATGATCTTAAATAGTAATGAGACAGTCTGATCCTAAAAGGGGTGTAAACAAGATTAACAGCACAACAATTCCCCATATTTATAATGAACAAGTTAATTACCTTTTTGACAAATGATTACCACGTCAAGGACACACAGTACTAATGAATGGGAACCAGCCTAGAAATGGGTGAACATAAAATAGAGTAACATGTGTTTGGCTGGACAGGATTTGTTAATATTGTAAGTTATGTTTTAGCAAAAATAATCTTTTGAGAGCTGATCCTAGTTGAAAGCAAAAAAAAAAATAGAGACATTTTTTGATTGATGGAAATCGAGTCCTTAAACCGTCTTGAATTTGGAACACCCATTACTAAAATTAGCACTTGACCCTTACTTGCTGAATTGTAAGGACATGTTTCAAACACATGCAGGTCCAGAAAATGCCGCGTCTCGTATCCTCCCCTCTACACGGAAACTAACATTCAGGTTTCATCTATATTAATAAATATAGATTTGATAATGACAACTGACAATTTTTAAGTTATTAAATTTTTAATATCATGGTGTTTGCAAAGGCTTAAACTGGTAATTGAGTTTGTTCAGTGAGGCCTTAAGTAAAGAAATATATGGCATAATGTGTATTTTCATGAGTTTAAACTAATTGTAAAGACATTTCATTTACATCACATACAATTGTGTATTTTATCAAGCCAGAGACCGTCTAAGTGCTAAAAACAGTTTGTATAAAAAGGCAGAATCTAACTTATGTTCGCTTTTTGTGCATGCATGCATGTATCCACCCATGCATTCATCCACCCACCCCTACCCATGCAAATCTAGGGCATCATGCAACAGACATGTAGCAGCATATGCAAGCCAGTCACTTTAACCTGACACCAGGAACACCATTCATAACACTAACCTCTTAATGCCGGCCGAGCAGCAAGAGAGGTAGCTCTTAGTACTATTTTTATACGTCTTTAGTATAACATTTTTCTTCTAAATAATCGTCGATGTGTGTGTGTGTGTGTGTGTGTGTGTGTGTGTGTGTGTTGGCGCATAATTTGGATTTTTTAACGTAGCGTTAACAATTCTTGAGATTTTAATGACAGTTAAATACGACACTGATCTGACTGGTGGATGCCGGTTTTCTTATTTGCATTCAAACATTGACGACAGTGAAATGCTTTATACATTTAAGGATCCAATATTATTTGTAAGAGACATTCTGTTCATTAGTAGGATTCATATATCCCGGTTTAAACTTGGTATTAAGTTGAAATGATATTAAGACGCGATAACCTTTATATGCTAAATAATGGTTTATGTTTGTTTTTGGGTGTATGTCTGCATATGTGCATGTGTGTGTGATTTTAATTTTTAACGTAACTTTAACAACTTTTCAGTCCAGTCATATGGATACAATGTCTGCAGTGTAATAGTTTATGATCATGTCTAGCAAGGTCGCATCAGGCAAAGAAAACGTAGAATGATGTCTCACCCAGCCACACTATCCTGACAGTGGGCTGAACTGTCCTAACACTAACCACTTAAAGCTGAGCGCCTAGCAAGGCAGCTGTTAGTACCATTTTTAGAAGTCTTTGGTATGACTCGATCGGGGTTTGAACCCGCGACCTCCTGAATCGGAATCGGATGCTCTGACGACTAGGCTGCCGGAGCGTTGGTCGATTTTTGCCAGTAAATTCGAATGCGTAATTTTTATCACACTATTTGTGACTATGTTACATTTGAATCATTCATTTGAAATTTTCCCTTTCCTAAAAAAAATATTGGCACAATATAATCTTTTTTTTTTCTGTGCTTGGCTACTGCTATTTTGATTAATACATTCCACTGTTACTGGAAATGTCATCCGTTGAGCTTAAAAACAAATATACCAAATAAACAAAGACTGTTAATAATCAAACTTTTACCGGCCTGCATGAAGAATGGATGCCTTGCAAATGAATATAGCCCTAAATTTTCTTCGGACTGGGTCCCTTATATTTAACTCAAAATTAGGCGCTTGACCATTACATCCGCGTTAAATAACCATTCAAGGTTGATTAAAGATCCGATACCGGTATTTTTTCCATATTACCTAAATTGTAGTGGGTTCATTCAATTATGTGGCATTTTTAGTAATATATTGGCAGTTAAACCGAAAGAAATGAAAAGGAACAACTATTGCGTGATGAACAAAGAGATGTTAGCTTAAGTGAAGCATACATTGAAGGTATAAACATGATAAAATTTTTCAAAGTCACTTTCAAACGCGACAAGGTCTGAAAGGTCTCATATAATATTTTATACACTAGATGTGATAGGTGAAGCATGTGAATATTCGTTATCTGCACCTCGAGATCAATGTGTTAAAATTAATTGATTGACAAAAAAAAAAAAACAGGTTTTAAAATTGACCTGTTAAACATCATGTCAGCTATTTTATTTTACCAAACAATCAACCCGAACCCTGAAATAAATAATTCCCCTTAGCGACGATGAAGTTGAGTGTGACCTTGGGTGACGTTTAGGTCCTTTAATTGCAGAGTTTCGGTTTTTCAGGAGAATGATATATTTGGTAGTGTACGACTTCGGAGAAAACGTTTACGGTAATGAATATAGCATACCCTATAATCCAGCGAGAAGTGCTGAATCACTCAATAACTTACACATCGATTTTGGAGTGCAAATTTCAACAGTTTTCTGAAATATTTATTAGATTCTCTTTCACCTAGTTGAACCACTTGTATCAACAACCAGATGTATGTGTTTACCTGTCCATAGCGTTGGGAAGAGGGTGCTCAATTAATCTTTTTCTACCTAATGCACAAAACCAAATAATTCTTATATATATATATATATATATATATATATATATATATATATATATATATATATATATATATATATATATATATATATATATATATATATATATATATATATATATATATATATATATATATATATTAAAACTTCAGTACACTAAATTTATTCTGAATGGGTAATATGCAAAGAAGAAAAAGCTAACATAAATAAGGAATTATTACAAAGTCAAATTTGCACGGGTTATGCCATAGATGTCGTGCAAGTGCGTCTACTACACACGATTTCATATAACACAGACTCAGTTCGATCATTCAAAGGTGATGTGTGCTTAGTCGTGATGGAATATGGGCTAATGTGTGCAGGCACGCACGGCGATGGATGCCGTTTACCCGCTTATCTGGGAGGGAATTTCCGTAGAGTACGAATTAAGTATTCTCTACACAGGATATATATATATATATATATATATATATATATATATATATATATATATATATATATATATATATATATATATATATATATATATATATATCTTGTTACTCGCATGCTCGTACAAAAGTAACAAACGAGAGAGTAAAGCCAAGAAGTTATGTAAATTTTAGCAAAATAATTTATTTTCCCAGAAAGCATGTTCACAATGTGACTTACGGATTGTGAATCTAATCCGAAACCTAATCCAGGAATTTAAAAATATAAACCCTTATCACTAAAAAATTCTAAAATAGTCAAAGTTGGAATTATGATAAAGTTCCACTATTGAAGAGGATGACGTCTTCTATATCTTTTTATGTAAAGTCGTGTCAACAGTTGCTTGTTGAATCACAAAGAAATAATATTCCTGTGAAGAGAGCCATGTAGAGGTTTACAAACACAACGTGTTTGTGTTTATTTGTTTATCATATATATGTTTTGTATTTGCCTTTGAAAAAGACTCATTAAGAGTCGAAAGCGCTTAGGCTAGTTAGTTACTAGTTTTGTACTGTTCGTCGTCAGTTTATTGCATATATATATATATATATATATATATATATATATATATATATATATATATATATATATATATATATATATATATATATATATATATATATATATATATATATATATATATATATATATATATATGTGTGTGTGTGTGTGTGTGTGTGTGTGTGTGTGTGTGTGTGTCAACTACCAACATTGTTTGTATTGAAACATAGGTCTTCTTTCTCCAAAGCTTGGATTCTCAGAAAGTTTAGTCATGTTAGGCCTATATCATATAGTGATCAATCCCGGTAAAAAAAAAATTGATCATCACAATTATTCAATGACATTCTTAACGTGCTTACATTTTCAAAGGTGCAATTTTCACAGATTTGATGCCACCTGTGTGAAGTTATGAAATCTAATGGACTGATGAAAACGTCAGTGCACGTCGGATGCATTTCATGAGACCTAGAGATTAAACTGTTCTAAAAAAAATATAGCTTGGATTACATTATTTGCTGCGATATATTTATTTGAGAGAAGGTGCTCAAAGAATGCCTAAGAATTTAAGTAACTGTATTTGTACTTGATCTTCTTTTTTTCTGCAACGGGAAAGTGAAAAATTCTGTATCCTAGGTTAGGTTCATACTACATGATCATATCCAGTGTGTTTTAGGTGTCAAGTTGTTATTAATTCTTCACTCATAGAAAATGTTGAAAGCCAAAAAGATTTTTTTTCGTATACATTTGGAGTTAGTAATATTCGAGTCTCCATATATAGCACGTTGAATATTTTCTTGCTTTGGATTCTCTTCATTTTGTGCCGGCATAAACATCTACATTACTCATATTGACATTTAATATCACGTTCCATATGCTATATTTTAAAATGATTCCGTTGTTTGAGTAAGCCATTGTAGCACAGTGGGTGTCTTACTACAGACTTCGAGGGCTAGATACCCGTCCAAACAGCCTTGGATGGTTATGTTTCCTTTGGAAAGACTTATTGATGTTATTTCTTCATCATGATAAAGCCAATAATTTGTTCAAAATTTGTTTTAAAAAAAAAGGAATCAAAAAATTAAGCAACCAACTAATCCAAAGAAGCAGCCAACAAAAGATATTTGTTTCTGAAAAAGGAATTCATAAACTTTGTTGTCTTTTTGGAGATCACAAATATGCAATGAATTATGCATGACGAGTTGTCAGAAGGAAATAGTAAACAATTGTATAAGCAACGATATGTTTAAAATGAGCCAATGTAAACCAACTCACTGATAGCATTTTGCTCGAATCGATATGTATACAATTTACAAATATATTACGTTCCAAACTGAAGTTAATTATAATATTTTGAATGCATAATTGTGCAGAGAAACAAAACGTCGATATTTTACAGGTTATAGCGAAACTATAAACGGTGTGGGCAATAGTGACAAACAAACATTCATAAAATATTTCAGATACTAATGAGACTGTTCTGCCAGGAGATAGGGATCATTTGTACAAGGGGATCTATACGTGTTATGGAAAGATAGAGCTTTCATATTGGTTTTTTTTTGGGGTGTGGTCAAAATATATACAGTTCACAAAATAGTACTTTGCAAACAAGCTTTAAGTTTTCTAATACAAATTCTTCTCATACGTAAGACGGTAAACCAATTTATTTTGAAAACCCAGAGTGTCCAGAATTATGAAAAACAAAGGAGAGTTGTCATACATCATTTTGATTTTGCTAATGGAATATGCTCTTTCACAAGATACATGCGAAAGAGGCACATATCTTGGACAGTTCAGTTTTGGACAATTTATTCCGCGCTCCGTTTTTACTACAAAATACGAAGTAAGCCCGTATCAGTGCGCCACTGAGTGTCAGCTTAGAAGACAGCGATGTAAATCTTTCAACTACAGAAGGTCTGTTCTTTCGTGTCAGTTGTGCGAGGAAGATTCCGGACCAGGAGGAATAAATCTACAGCCCAAAGCTGGCTCGGATCACAGCAATATAGATACCTGGAGAAACGTGAGCACAATATACCATTTATTTAGGATATTGTTTTAATAAATCTTTGAATTGTCATCATGAACATGGTATATAGATTGTGTTCATGTTGATTTCAGAAGCCAATTATCACCTTACATACATGATTCTGTCAGCAGCCATTTAGCACGTTGTTAACTCACATACTCAAATAGTAATTCGTGTGATATATGCATTAAAATCTCTGAGCGTTCATTCTCTTATATTTCTAGATGAATTATAACATACATTTGTTATTCGTATGTCTGATTCCTTTACAATATTTTGCGATTGAAATGCCATAGAATAAAGAATAGTTCTGCTAAAGTCTGATTATATTTATTAGACTGATTCTTTAACAATATGACTCACTGTGCATTTTGGTGTTAGACAACTTGGTGGTAGTGAACTAACAACAGTTTCTGAATAATGCAGATATGGGAAACCTTCGGTTGTACAATGATCATCAGTAGACCAGATTTGATTTCGTGGACTAGAAAACTTGGTACATAACCCGCCGTTACTTTAACTCTAATGACACTTTCAATAAAATCGACTTAATAACTGTTTCAATTAGCTTTATTTGCAATAAAGTAAAATCTTATGAATTTCACGAATTTCCTGAGGCAAGTATTTGAAACGTTTTGAGAAATCATTGAATTTTTCAAGTGCTTTGAATACAAACGTTTCTTATAAAGTTTGTATTTTATTAACCATGTTAGATACGTATTACAAGTATATTTTTTCACCCAATATCTAGCTTATCATGAAAGTCTACAACATTATTCAATCGGTTAAGATCCCGTTTATAATGCATCAAGAAATAAACAAATTTGTCTCCTATCCCTCGCTTTAAACTTTCAGTTTGA